AAAAATTCTGAAAAAAAAAAATTGTCATGCAGAAGAATAAACTAAACAACATCCAAATTCCTTACCAGATTTGAAATAAAAATCAAATCCCAAAAATAAATAATATTAATGAAAATAAGAAAAAATAAAACGAGAATGAAATTATTGTGTGGCCGAGCAAGTGTTTGACACCGCCATCTTTGGCGATTTTTCTTTTTTTTTTTGGCTTTGTCAAATGCCATGAAATTTTATACATATGTATCTTACATAATATAGAACCTACAAATAAAGTTTGAAAAAATAATATTTTTTTTCAGGCCCCGAAATAAAGGAAAAACAAAAAGTGAAAAGAGAAAACAAACAAATTAGTAAGTGGGAAAGCAAGTTTTGACACCACCATCTTTGCCGATTTTTCATTATTGTTTGGCTGCACAGAATGACTTCAAAATTGAGAGACAGGTAGCTTACATAACAGAGAACTCACAAAAAAAAATCAGAAAAACATAATACTTTTTAGGTACCAAAATATTTTTTTGCGGGGTCCGAACCCCTTCGAGTTTGGGCCCCGTACGGGGACCTGAACGCCCGAACGTTCGGGGGTCAGCTTAGGGGCCTCCGTACGTTCGGCCTGGCAACTCTGATAATGACAATAAAAAAAAGGCCTGAAAGGCTGAAAGGCCGTCCTGTCCAGAATCTACAGGTAATTGAAAGGCCCTCCTGTCTAGATTCTACAGGTAATTGAAAGGCCCTCATATCCAGATTCGGCAAGAATTAGCCTTTTTAATAATAAAAAAAATGAGATGGTGCTTAGGTGTGATTGGGTAGGTGGGATATGTGCAGGGGGTGCCGGTTCGCGGCGCTTCAGCGCTCCGTTCTGCCGCCACTGGCCTTGGCCGGTCTAGTCGCCCTTGCATCAGCCATTGTGGTTGCCGATAGCGTTTGCATGCTTCGCGTAGGTCAGCTATGTCTGCCTACGTCGAAGATTGTAGACTAGCCCTAATGCTCGCCATAAACTTGGGATTTGTTACATGCTAATTAGTCTAGCTTCATACTAGACTGTACCAACAGCAGTGGTTTTTCCACATCAATACTTTTATCCAAGTAACCTCACACGACAATGGAAAGTCTACCTGGTGAAGACTGCCATGGTAAACATGGAGGTAGAAGATAATCGAACCGACAATGGTGGAACCGGCGGAGATAAGGGCTAACATCATGGAGGCGATGTGGGAATGGTAGGAGCAGAGGAGGTTGCAGGAACACCTGGCCTGCCAAGACCGCGGATGGGAGAGGAAGAGGAGGATGCAAACAAGAATAGATCGCCACCGCCAGCTCACACCAACTATTGGCCGGAGGAAGAGCCGATACGGAAGATGTTGGCTAATTGTTACAAGGTAGGCATACTCCCCTCAGGATGGGACATCGGTGAACTTAAGGAAGAAGGAACCAAAGCGCACTTCACCCTCAAGCCTTCTTTGGATGAGATAAAAGTTAAGTGGTTGAAGGAGCGAACGGTTACCATCATTTTCCAAGAGGGATCCAAGAATTTGCCGAAGAAAATCAAGGAGGACGTGATACGGGCATTCGAGGACATTTGGCTGGGCGAGCACCGGTTCGATCCTTCTATATCCAGGGGTAGGGTCCGCATCGAGTCCAGCAACGTACTGTCGTATGTTGCTAAGGATAAGAATGTGGCGGAATGGATGCTGGAAGAAATGTCGATGAGAGTAGCATTGAAGCGAAGATGGTACAATATTGCTTTTAAACCTTGGATGACCAAAGTCGAGATCCAAGAAGCTAGGCGGGAGGAGGCGAATGACTATTTTTGGATTCGGGTCATTGACGTCCCGATTCACGCCTATTGTTACTTGGAGTCAGCCGCAGAAATGTCGATCGGAGCAATCCGAAAGGTCTATCCCTCGAAGAAGGAAGCGCGAACACCGCAGTTAATTAACGTTCATATGAATATTGCCATCGAATGTTTACCAAGACTGAAGGAGACCTTATCGTTCACAACATTTCAAGGGCAGGAGATAGAGTTCCAGGTGACGAATGCGCTGACGCCTTGGTGTAGCAAATGTCAAAAATACTTTCACTTGGCGGATGTAGCAAATGTCGAAAATACTTTCACTCAGCGGATCAGTGCACGCGTACCGGACGTAGAAGACCACCAAGTCCTACTCGAAGCTCAAGCAGTGAAAGCAACAGTACCAGAAGCCGTGCCTCCAACCATCCAACTCCAAGTGAAGGCCGCGCACAGTCATCCCAAGGGGGTTCGTCCCATCATGGCTCGACTCATCATGACTCCTCCCAGGGGGACGAACGACGCGTCCCGACTACCACCTCAAATAGACAAGGGAGTAAGTCGGCATCCGACAAGGGGAAGTTGGGACCTCCAGGATCAACACCCCACGGAGCTCAACCACAAGACACTCATCAACCAGGCACTGAGGATCCCCACCAAGAGAAAATCCAACATATATGTCGGGCCCAGTGGCGGGTATGGCGACCAGAGGGGTGATGGGTCAAGGCCACGTGAGCCAAAGGATGCAGGCAACTGTTGAAGAAAGTCAACCCACGCAGGTCGGAGGTCAAAAGAAGTCAGCGGCGGGAAATTCTAGCGGTATCAACAGCGGTCGGACGCCCGGAAGCAAAGCCAAGAATAAGGCGCCGGAAGGGGCAGGGCCCTCCTTAAACAGCGGAGCGAATGCAAGGGGGGAACTTACCCCCACGAAGCTTCGGAGGCGGTTAAGCGAGGACATGGAGGAACTGAGAATCAGGGAAGAAGAGATTGGCGGAGAACCATCAACTGCGTCGGTAGAAGCAACAGGCGGCCTCTCGAAGAACAATCAAGAAGGCGCCATGAAACGGAACAGAAGACAAGTCACGGGCTCGGACAAGGAATGGGAGAAACATCTCCTTCCACTCCTATTCCCTGCCACACAGGAGGGCATATTTGTGCTTGCATGGGGTATCTCTGACTCGGAGATAGCGATCCCCTCACAACCCATTGTGGGGCCTCCGATGCCCAGGGATATAGTAAATATGACTCGGACGATTTATGGCAGTGAGATAGCGGTAAGATCCATCCCGGATATCCTTACCCCTCGCTTCTTTATTGACAAGTCTCACCTGAAGGCAAAGTTGTTTACCCCGCTTTTCGACGCTAGACTGTCTCAGGAATCACTGAGGAGATTGATAGGTCACGGATTATATCCAAGTCTGCTTCCGATTGACTGGTTTGCTCAGACCAACCACCCAGAGTTAGCTAGGTTTAGGATCCTGGGTAACATCGAAGCTTCGGAACTAGGGAAGTTGAATTTGAAAATTTTGAAACCCTGATTCTTAACATCTTGGGGATTTATGTCATACTTGTCGCAAAAATGGGATGTTGGAACCTCTCTCTCTTTAGGAGGCCTGACATCTTCGAATTTGTCCGTTCCCTCGATCCGAATCCAATCCCAGTCGGCGCGATCCACCTCCCCATGTTTCAAGTCGAGATAGCCACATGAAATTTACGAGGGTTGGGAGATACGGGCGGAAGAAATAAAAGGCAAAGGTTAAAATCATGGATTCACAAAAACAAAATCCAAATTTTGTGTATGCAAGAAACTAAGCTAGATGACGACAAAATTATTTCGTTGGAAGCTTGGTGGGATGACCCCCAATTCTGGGCTCCGACAACGGAATCCAGAGGAGGGGTAGCAATATTGGTACACCGTAATTTGGATGCAGTTATCCTGGATCATGATTTTGACCAAAATGGCAAGTGGTCGTGGATCAAACTTCAGTCCTCGAACGAGGTATGGGCAGTGGTTTCGGCGTACGCGCCAGCAGAGAAAGCCGAACGTCTGAATTTCTTTGAGGTATTTATGGATAATCTTCTGGATGTGGATAACCTTATTATTGCAGGAGACTGGAACGTCTCGTTGGATGATGCTAATCCATTGTTTTCTTCCTCTCAGGCAGATAAGGACCTGGAGGCAGTCATAAAGTTGTCAATAGAACTAGATCTCGTGGATATATTTCGGGAGGCTAATCCAACCGATCCAGGTCTAACCTGGTTTTCTTCCCAACTCTTCTCAGGCCGACATGTTGTTGCACGTAGGTTAGATTTCTTTCTAACCAACCGCCTCTTATGGAATAATACGATTGACGTCACAACTCACTCTCAACTATTATCGGATCATAATTCTGTTGTGATGTGGTTCCAATGGGAAGAGGGACTGGAGCGAGGAAAGTGACTGTTTAGACTTAATGATGAAATCATTCAAGACCCTCGAGTATGTCAGTAGGTTAAAACTCAACTGGAGAGGTGGCAAGGGAAGAAAAATAGATTCGGGTCAGATAAGTAGTGGTGGGATGCGTGTATTCAGTTTCTGTCAAACATGTTGAGTGTGTTTTCCTGAATCGTGGCGCTGCAAAACAATGAAGAGGAAGCCACAGTTAGGAAGTAGGTCGAGGAAGCGGATGCAATCATTGCAGCCCTTCCCCCGCGCTCAGTTGACGCTCATTGGTAGTGTAGGGAAAGAGCTAAGAGATTGCAGAAGTGGGACGACATCCAAGAAAGAAAATCAGAGCGTTGGAAGGAAATTTTGGCTGTCAAAAGCATAGAAGCGGGTGATAGGATGACGAAGGCCGCTTTTCAACGCCTCCTACCAAGGTTCTATCACAAGGAAATGAAATCGCTTACTCACCCTTTCAACACGCAATCCTCAAAAGCCAAAACATCTCAGGAGATGTGCTCCTATGTGAAGATTTACTTCTGCGATATTTTAACGTCACGAAGAAACCATACAGAGCTGGACACAGACCAGGAGCATCTAACTGACTTTTGGAATCTGGTTGGAGTCAGGCTACCTACAACAGGTCGCCTAGATCTAGACAGACCTATCTCAAAAGGGGAACTGGATCGGGCCATTGGCGCTATGGCAAGAGGAAAGGCACCTGGGTCAGATGGGATCCCCGTGAAATTCTTTGACTATTTTAAAACTAACCTGCGGGAAAACCTATTGAAAATGTATAACAATATTTTAACTGGTGAGGACCTATCTGACAGTATGCGACATGGTGTCATCACCTTGCGTCCGCCTTTTGGACCACCACGCCTGCTACACGGACATCCCGGATCGGAGGCCGGACATGGCTCTCGCGACTGTGTATAATCTCATGAAACTGGCTGTGGGAGGGCCCCGAGGATTCGTCCTCGGGGCGATTCTCCGAGGACAGGTGGAATGACACCTCCAAAAATTAAGAAAAACTCCGAGGATTCGTCCTCGGAGCCCGAGGACGTCCTTGGAGCCCGAGGACGCGCCGAGGAGTGTCGAACGACGCCCTATCTTGAACTGTCTTAAACTACAGCAAGAGGAACCCTCCCTTTTTTTTTTTTTTTTTTTTTTTTTAARGCTCCATCTATTGGTGGGGAGCATCACCTGCTGGAAACCGGGTCCAGCGTCCCTTGATTGTACAACTTGAATACATTATGAGAATAAGAATAAATAAGAAAAAAGTCTCTTGAATTGAAGAACACTGTCACTCACTTCCTGCCAACAGAAATTGAAACAACAACACTACCTCTTCATCCATTCCAGGACGCTAGATATACCTGTTGAAACTAGTAGTGATAATTTTATAATCCATACCATGAGTTGGGAACAAGGGTTGTTGTTGGGGGAGGAAAAGGATCCGGGAAATCTGATAATGGACGCATGGGAATTGACGCGTCTATAGTAGTCGAGTCATCGAAAATCAATTTGTAGTCTCTTTTCATTCCAGTATCATCCTCATTCCCAACTCCATTCCAAAAGATACAAGCAATTCTCCCACTCTGGTTTCCGTCCAGCCAATTACGACTGAATTTACAAAAATGACTTTGAATTTATGTTTTGTATGAGAGGAATTGAACTATATCCTTTGTTCGATCCCATTTGCTTAATATATCTGTTTGGATTTGTTGTTTAATATTGTCTGTAAATTCAGGTCCATCTAGTCTAAGCCCCTTCCCATTCATACGTGCATCTCTTCATCCATATAGCCCACAACACCGCTCTTCTCCCCATGCTAAATAGATTTTTCACAAATTCCCCGTCATTTTCCACTAATTCTGGGTCCGGGCTCCAGGTCTCAAGAAGAATAGCTTTCCATTTTCATGGCTAAGGAACCTGTGAGACTAAACGTGACCAGATTCGATCCCACCACCTCCAAAGCCATACTGAGTCCGGACATTGCATAAAGATATGCTCTATAGTTTCAGGATAAGTTCGACTTGGGAAAACTGATTTGCATAACTTACACCATCTTTCTGCTAGTCCTTTTTATTCCAACGATGATCTTTCAATCAGCCAGTCATTGACTGCTAGACACCTATGTTCAATTTGCCATTGGAGTGAAGCAATTTTGACTGGTTTCTCCTTGACTATTTTAAACCACCTGACAGACCTCAATTCTTCTTGACTAACATTAAGATGTTCTCTCCATCTGATGGAAACCTTGTCTTTTAGTTTAATTCTAGGGCGAGCATTCGGTAGGTGAGTGAATAGTCCTTTTGAACGATCTGTTATGCCTTCCTATTTTTGTGACCGAGCTCCAAACCCAATTAGCCGGGTCGAGAGGGAGTTCCGATATAGGACAGTTTGGTTTAAAGGTCACCCAAGAGTCTTTAGTTCTGATTACCCTTATTCTGAAGATCTGTTGCGTCTGAACCCAACCGGTTTCCCCTTGCCCCTTAGGAATGACTATATTAGTGGATGACAAAGAAAAATTATGTAACAGAAGTCCCCCATTATGGTCTTGGTCCAGAATTAAACCAATTGACTCAGACTGATCCTTGAAAGCAACCCAATCATTTATCATTAATTTGGGGTCTTTCCTAAGAATACGAAACCATTCAAGATGGATGAGTTCGATTATCCTTTTGAGTGCTTCCTTTGAATGATAACAATATCTTAGCCTTGCCCTCAGTTTAGTTGGGTCGATCCATTCATTGGTATCAATATCCCATATATCTTTTATCCTCATAATCCCATTACTAATCCATCCCTTCCAAGGAGAATGCATACAATGAATAACAAATCCTTGGGAATCGCGAATCCACCTATTATCAAAAATAGGTCGTTGACACACTTGCTCCCATCTTTCTGGCGATAGTTTGTCCGTGAGGGGAAATTGTCTTTAGGTTTTCAACATAGACACCCACAAAGGATCATTTTTCAAATCAAGTCTGACCGCTAAGAGGAACCCTCCCTGGTGCCCCATGGGAAAGGATCCTGCTAACCATGACAACAATCTTCGAAGTGGTATCAATGTTTCATGATTTATCTGGCGCCCCCTTTAGGGGATGACGAGATACAAAGGACAAAGGCTACATTACCGGACAGCTTGACACTTTTGATACATCTGCTCAGTCAATCCCCTGGGAGACAAGGCGATCAATGCTGGCAGACCCCATAATCATGTTTCTCATAAATTCTCATAAATTCTGTATATGGGACGTTCACTAGCACTGACAGGGGTGGTGTTGTTTGGAAAAAAAAAAAAAAAAAAAAAAAAAAAAGGCCTCACTTGGATGTTTCAAATCAAAAAAGAAAAAAGAAAAATTTAAAAATGGATGTTTATTATTTTTTATCCCAGACTTCTCTAAATTGGAACAACTCCAGCTATTTTCTTCCAATCCGTGTCATTTTGGAAGGACTGGGGCCTAGGGCTGGTCCCAACAGAAAACTCAAAACAATTTTTGGGCGTCCAAGTCTCCATTTTGAACTGCTCCAAATCTCAAGATCAGCTAGGGTTCATAGTTGGCAAGGAAATCATAAAATTTCTATTTTTGGTAGGATTTTGGCGGTCTCCATGTCCGCCTTCTCACTTTTGT